TGATAATAATAATAATGAAAATAATAATGATAATAATATCAATGATAAATAACCTAACATTATGAACAATACAACCATCATTCCTTATCATACAGACACTAATAACAGGAATAACACCAAAGCACGCAAAAATAAATATTGACAAATAATCCTCAACCACAAAATAACTTCAGGTACGCCTCCTTACGTTAACAAACTTCCTTAACTCACCCTAGTTCGCATTTGATATAGCTGCCGTTCCTGTGCCGTCCGCAGTTGCCATAAATCACACCATCCACGTTGAACTGTCTGTAGCATGTCTCGTCGGATGCTTGTCCTCCTGTGAAAGAGCGGAGGCTGGTTAAATATCGGTGGCGCTGACTGTGAGGATGGGAGTGAAGATGGTGATGATGGTGATGGTCATGACGAGGATGGTATCGATGATGATCTCGGTGTCAATGATTGTGATGGTGAGGATGAGAATGTGAATCAAGGTGGTAACCGTGGTGGTGATGAGGCGATGATGTTGCTTATGGGATGTGATGTAATGTGATATGGTGGTGATGGGGATGATAATACTAGCAATGGCTATGATAGTGATTATACTAAAATTAGAAACTACCGACATGGAAGCTGTGTATAAAGATATATAATTTTTAATAACATATATAGCTGTATAGTTTCTTGCATTTCACAGGAATCTTGACCAATGGATATATGAATTATAAATGGTTGGGCAGTCAAAGTTTATATGAAATAAAAGTAACCAGTAAGTTTAAATTATAAAAAATTGCCAGTCAAATTCTAAATGGTATGGGACAGACTAATCTAAATTTTAATGACACGGAATCAACAAGAAAAACTTTAGTTGCGAAAACCAATCAACCCTAAGGGATCATCTTTGCCAGTAGACTAGAGACGTTCCGGCCCATACCCCGGACGCGACGGGTTCCTGTCCGGGGTTTGATGCCGGACGTTTCCAGTTCATGACGTCATTGTCTGTAGATGCGGAGCCTATCTAGTCGAGAACTGGCTCGGCCCCCTTCTGCGCATGCGTGATAGCGTTTCGATCCTAGGGCCCTTCATTGAACGTTAGGTAGATCACTACAGATGACAGTTAGAATAATTCATTTTCTATTAATACTGAAAATGCATCGCTGAACAGGCTACAGTCACCAGTGGTGGTTATACTTTTACAACTCTCATATCTATTTGCACCAATATTTCAAGGGAAAACCTGAGAACTCCATGTAAATCTGCATCTTTTCAGTCATAAGCACTGCCTCCCTCCCAAAAAATGTTGACTTCAGCATCTTATATATAAAGCTTATTACTTCCTGAAAACAAAATAAATTATATGTTGTATATACCGTATATACATTATAACTGAATGGAATTATAATTTTAGCTTATCTATGAATATAATTTTGCTTGAGGCCTTTAAAAATCGAGTATTTATCAGATGACTGCATTCGGACATTGCTTGAAAACGCTGGTACCACACGAACAACAAGGTGCAATGAAAGCATATCTTTTTATCAAGAGTCGAAATGCCTTGCATGTTAATACTTAATATATTTGGGCATTGTATTGTTGTTGCTATATGTTCACTGTAACTGGTAATTAATGAATGCAGGCAGGGACAAGTGAAAATAAGCGGAGAAAAAATATAGAGACAAAAAAATATCATGACTGAGGAGAGAGAATGAGAGGAGAGAGAGAGAGAGAGAGAGAATGAAAGGGAGAGAGAGAGAGACAGAGCTCGATCATATACAAATTCTGGATGTGATTCCTACTGCGCCGTGCATAGTCTGAAATGTAGGACAGTTTCTCCGCACCTTTTGCGCCTGGCAGCGACATACCCGCTAGCCAATCAGCAATCTGTGACGTCACTCTCCCAAAGTCCTGACGTCCCGTGTTTAGGGAAAAGATGATGCCCTTAGACTTAGAAGAAAGGAAAAAGCATAAAAGATTTAGACAACACAAAACACCTAAAAAAAAGAAAAAAGAAAAGATTCATACGACACAAAACACCTCACAGAAAGAAGAAAAAGAGAAAAAAAATCTGGACACAAAACACCTCATAGAAAAAAAAATCGGAAGAGAGTTAGACGGCACAAAACACCACAAAAAAGAGAAAAATTAGAAAAAATGAAAAGACACAAAACACCTCACAAATAAAAAAGATTTAGACGAAATAAAACACCTTATAAAAAGAGAAAGAGAGAGAAAAGAGATTTAGACGACACAAAACACCTCTTGAAAAAGGAGAAAAATATTTAGACGACACAATACACCTCATATCAAAAAGAAAAAAAGGAAAAAGCAAAAGATTTAAAGGATACAAAACACAACAAATAACAAAAATAGAAAAAAAGGAAAAAGACCACGCAAAACACATAAAAAAACAAGAAACAAAAGAGAAGAAAAAGATTTAAACGATACAAAAAAAAAAAACTCGTAACAAAAAGAAAAACGAAAGGAATGAAAAAATTTAAAAGACACAAAAAACGAAAAATAA